TCTGCCTCGATTTTCTTCTCCTTACAAAAAATATCCATGTCTGCCTCTTAGAGAATTGCAGTGAGGAACAAATAAGGCAACATACGTAAACCCTGTGCTCTCCCAATGGAAAGAGCCCAAGACCCATTTCCTTGAGCTCAGTTGAAAGTGTGAAGCCAAACAGAGTCCTATAGAAAAACATGAGTGGTCTCCATTCTGGCTCACATGCTGTCAACACAGCGGTAGGGAAGCCAGCTTCTGACCCAAAGAGCCCCTCTCAGAGCAAGGGACAGTGCAGGCTGCGTTCAACCCATGCCTCTTGCTGGGGGCACTTAGCACAAGGCCTGCTTAGCAACAAGGCCCTGGTGATTTCTATCTAAATGGCAAATTGACAAGAGGCCACCAATGTTGAGGCTGGGCCATCATAGCCTTCATTTCCTGTCTCAAATTAATCTTTCACCCCGAGACACACCATAAAACAGAATAATGCTGATTCAACAATGTTAGATCACTGAGTACAAGTCAAACAGCCTGTTCATGAGAAGGCTTGGCCTCTCTATGCTGTTGAGCTCAAGTTTTATTAGGCCTTGATAAATAACAAGGTGGAAACAGTACAGACCCTGTTAACACCTCAGACATTCAAGTTCAAGGTCAAAAGGAGACATGGAAGGCCTAATGGCTGAATCCACATGGGGAGGCAACATGGTCCTGGGGAAAGAGCCATCAGACTCAGCTTCTATCACCTCACACCTACCACTAGCTCAAGTTATGGGCCTACGTAAACTCTGTCTCTGGGCCTCACTATATTTACTTATACATAGGAGAACTGGATTAGATGATCTCCGAGTTCTTTCTAGCTTTAACACTTAACCATTGTAAATCTTAGAGCCAAATCCACCTTTCCTAACTCTTTCCTTTTTTCTGTTGTTGTTCCTCTAAGACATCTCTCATCTGTCCCTGAGCAGCTTAATACTATCACTACTCTCTTTACTGCTCCAGATTGTCTGGTCACCCCTAACCACAAGCCAGGTCAAATTCTTAGGACTATATTTACTACCCTCTGGTCAAACAATTTGATAGAGTCCTGGTACCTTGGGGCATTAGGGACCTGACTACTCAACTACCTCTAATCCCACTCCCCTCCCACACCAACCAACTTTCACTCCTTAGATCTCCAGCACTCTCATAAAGTGAAAGTGCTTTTTCCCATGCTGCTTTTCAGGAGACTAGGGCAGCCACAGGCAGTTCTTATCTACACCCTGGCATATCTCAGTACAGACCAGTGGAGAGGTGGCAAAGCTACAAAGGCCAGGAAGAAAGTGCCTGACAAAAGCAAGCTCTGGCCACATGAGGAAAGGTGACCAGGAGGAGAAGACAGTGTCAATCACAAGGACAAGCTGAGGGTGGGCACTGAGGACCACAGACACGTAGGAGATGCCTTAAGATGCCAGCAAGCCGCTCCACCTTCCTGACGTCCTCAATAAGAAATCTGAGGGCAAGTGACTTGCCCAAGGCCACACAGTCAAGCTTTGGATAGCCAACAGAAGGACGTGAGTCTTGTGGCTTCTGCTCACTCCTTTTTCCCTCTACTTTGTTGACTTCAAGAGTCTAAAGAGGCCAGCTGGAGTCCCTGCAAACGCTTAAGAAACACCACCCATGTCACTCAGGAAAACAGCACACAGATACCTTGACAGTGGCCTTGCTGGTCCCCTGCATTCCTTTCCAATTTGATGTGGTTTTCTCGTTCTTTCTGCAGCCCTTGCCACAAAACCCTGGGAAGTTCACAGGTCAGTGAGAAGGAAGATGTGTGTCTGCCTGGCTCTACAGAATGCTAAATACTAAGATAACCCACAACTGTCCCTTTTCCTCAGTTGACAGAAAGTGGGTGGGGGAAGGGTATGAGGAAGAAAAAACCAAATTAACCAACTGGAAGGCTGATCCATTTAGGCCACAGTATTATTCGTGGACAATTAGATGGGTCATCTGAAGGTTTGTGACAACGAACAATAGGCGCTACCTCTGCCAATGACCTTTCAAACATTGGTGTTTGACAGAGCATCTCAGCATCGGGAGGAGGAAGCGCGGAGTTAAAGATTCACGGAATTAATTATTCAGTGTGGGCGACCCAGTTCCCAGAGGTGAGGCAGGGTGAGAAGAGAAAGCACCAGTTCCTTATCACAGCAAGAAACTCAAACACTTCGCAGGGCAGTGTTCCCTATGCTGCCAAAGAGGATCCCTTTATGGCATAGAGCAGCCAAAATATAAGAGCCACAGGGAGGAAGAAAGGTCAAATTTCACTCAATCAACAAATGTTTGCTGAGTTCCTCTACCTCTTAGGCCCTCTGGGGATTTGCATATGGTTGGAGTTTAGGAGAGGAGAGAGATCGTGGAGTTTATGAACAGGAGGCCTGGGCTGCGTCCCAGCTCAGCCCTCTGAGAGCTACATTACCTTCAGCAGGTTATAGCTTGTCTAAGGCAAATTTCTCATCTGTACAATGGAACTAAGTCCACCTGCCTGATTATGAAGATGAAATGATCTTTATAAAAGGTAAAGTGCAATATAAATATGGAGTGTAAACAGTAATGATATGACACAACTCACTTTCCCTGCCCCAGAGAAGTATATAATCTGGTGATGTTTTAGAAAGTAACCCAAGGTACCTATTTGGCAAGCATGACATTCTCTGTAATTTGGGCAAATTGTATGCTTCAACCTGCCAGTGGAGATGGAGCCGGAGGTCAGTCCCAGGCTCCCAGCGTAAGAAGTTGCAAGAAGGGGTGGAGAAAACATAGAAAGAGGAGCCAGGACCTGCCTGTGCTCAGGTCAGGCCTTGACTGCATCCATGATCCAGGAGAGAATCGAGATTTCAAGGGGGAAAAGAGCAACTGGATACGTGGTCACTTAGAAAGAAAACAGAACAAAAATTCATTTGAGCACCACAGGAGTGAGCCAGCCAGAATGGCACACACTTCCCTCCCCACACACATTTCAGACAAATTTAGATTCCACAGCTGGCTGCCTAACCCTCCTCTGTGGGTGCGTCCTGCATTCTAGGTTTCTCTGGAAAGAGGGAAGGGTCTCAGGCTGCAGCCGACTGGCCAGTCAGGGCCTCTCTGCCTTGGCCCCTCCCCAGATGCTGAGAATCAGAACTCCTGGAGCAGCTTTCCCCTGGGTACGGTCAGCTTCTCCTCATCCCGCCGCCCCGACTCCCAGCACAGATTCCTCATTCCCCACGTGGGTCCTCGGTGCCCACCAGGGCAGCCTCCAAGTGCCCAGACATGCCTGCCGGCTGCCCTAAGTGAGGCCTCCATGTTTGCCCAATTTCTTGGATTGGGCCCTGATGCCCTCCCCTCCCCCTTACCCTCCCTCCCGCAACTAAACCCTGCCCAGGTTCATGCGTCCAGGGATGCCCCTGGGGAGCAGGGCCAGTTTTGCTCACCCCTCTGTTCCCCCTAACTCATGGTTTTCTATAAATTCATCACCCTCCTGTAAATGTAGATTTATAGTCCTACAGTGTTCTCTGATGGCTGTGTACAGCAGGGAGGAGGAGGGTGGAGTGGAAAGAATGCTCGCCTGGAAGCCCAGGGCTGTGTTTCCGTTCTCCATCAGACACAAGTTAGTTCTAGAACCTTGAGAAAGTGCCTTCAGGACAGGTCTCAGTTTCCCTGTTTGGTAATGAGGGGTTTGCTCTAAACAACCTTTCTAATTAGAAAGTTTGGCATTATAGAAACCAGACTAGCCTGGGACACAAAAGTCATATGTCCTGGGCCTTATTAGCTTACAACCTAGGGCAGGTTCTCTGACTGCTCATTTCCTGGTCTCCATGCCTAGAAAATAAACGAGGATAACATGACCACCTCTCCTGGGGTGCAAGACTCCTGGAAGACACTGTAATAGAGTTTCATGGACCGTAAAGACCTGTCAGACCTCGGGGCTCAGCTACCAGTCACCTGCGATGTTCCTGGTCCTGTATCTGCCGGCAGGAGCTGCCCAGCTCAGACAGGAAGGCTGGAGGATGGTTCCTCACCCTCAAGGCCCCCACAGTGGGTGGGTGAGATAGGCAGGTAGACAAGCCTTAACTCAGCCAGTGATGGATCCGAGGTGTGCACAAAGTACTCTGGGAGTGCAAGGAAGAGGCTCCAGCCCAGAGGGAGCTTGCCCTCACATGGTGAGCTGCTCCAGGAGAGGCAGAAAACAGAGCTGGACAGTAAGGCTGAGGTCCCACTGGAGGGGACCTTGAAGGCCAACGGAAAAGTGAGGGTCAGATGTGCCTTCGAGGAGGGTCTCTGGCAGCGCTGCAGAGGACACAGCAGGGAGAACTGAGAGTGGAGCCGGGAGAAGGGCAGGGAGGCTCTTACACTAGTCTAAGAAAGTGACTATGGAAAGCAAACCCACAGTTACTTCCTACCTGCGCTGACCCTTCCAGACCTAAGGTTCCAGGAACTTCTGAATCTGCATCTCAGGAAGATGTGAACAGGTTTGTTCTCCTCAGAATAGAACCCAAGCAGAATAGAACCCAGGTGCAGAATAGAACCCAGATGAAGATGCTACAGTCACATTTTCAAATCCTGAACAGATGGTTCAGGATGCTCTGAAGTCACTCCCTATAGAAGCTGCCTGGCAGATCCTTGCCTTGGCAGAGACCCGGGTGGCTGAGAGGCTGGAATGTCTCAGGGTTGGGACTAGGATCCTAGGGTTGAGCTGCAGACCCTGCTTAGGGGAAGGGAGGCAAAAACATATCCACTCTAACACCATGAATCAGACAGGCCTTGCCCCTCCAAAACAAACTGCAGTCTCGCTCCCTGCCTCCCCTGATAGCAGGGAAGGCTGTGCAATGTTGGAGGTCTTCAGCATAGACAGAGGCTTACAGGAAAATGAATGTTTCACCAGCATTGTCACTTTGAATGGGGTCAGGTGAATCTAAGTGTAACGAGTCTAAGTGCTCCCACACTTTTCTAATTCCAGGATTAGACCCCGAAGAGCTACTCAGTGGCATGAAAGATCCATCACTGTCACTTACTCACTGGATTCTCAGGCTTCACAATGGCTGAAGTCTTCTTCCTCCAGGATGAACCACACACAGGTTGTCATGTTCCTTTAAAAACAAGAGCCCAGAGTTAATGTCAGTTACGTGATCTTATGTTACAGCCTCCTATCTCCTCCCCTTCAAGAGGGCATGCATGTCTTGTACTTTGCCCTGTGTGACACTTTACCCAGCAAGAGGAAATGGGCAGAGAATCTCTCTGTGCTCCAACAAGTTTTGTCCATAAAGAAAAATATAATGAGATTGCTAAACAAATTCTATTACTGGCCACAGTCTGGGCACCCTAAGGGCTTATCCTATCTCTTCCCAAAGACCGCTGAGAAAGTAAGATGGATACTCTCTAAAAGAATAGTTTATCAGCTGCTTTAGTAAAAACAGTGTCAGAATTTCTAAGCCTAAGACACAGGAAAGTAAATCTGATGTAAAACTTGATAAGAAGTCACCAGTGTGAAATTGGTCACATTTTCTAAGTAGAAAAGTCCAAAACGCTAAACTAGAAGATTATGAGAGTGGGCCATTTGATCATGGCTGAGTTCCCTAAACAAATTATTTTGGTTTCCCGTGACCACCCACATTATGTGGTTACATCCTATTGCTTTCACAGAAAATGCCTCTACACCTGTTTGAGAAGTGGAGTCCAGAGTTATAAAATATTTCTAATGATTTACTTTCACATTAAAGATCCAAATGTCTAAGAGGTGGCCTCAAGAGGACAAAAATTAACACAGATGTGAAATTGGAGCTCTATAAAAGGCAATATCCATACTCCAGGGAACTGCAAACACTTAGCTCTGCAGAAGTGGCAGGCCTGTTTGCCCCCATAAACACACACACACACGCACACATTCTCTCCAGCACACAAAGAGCCAGGTTTGAAGTGCTGAGAGATGGATTCTCTGTTTAGAATTTTAGGACAATTAAAGGCAGAGAACCTGCTATTTACTGAGCGCTGCTCATGCATGGCATCAACCCTGCTGGAGACTAGACACATTTGATCTCAGTGGCTCCTCACAGACAGGAAACAGAGGCTTAGAGAGCAGATGGCACCTGCCACGGCCCACAGTAAGGCAGGATGTGAGTCCAGGCCCAGTTGACCCAGTGCCCACGGCCCTTCCCACCAAGCTCAGGCAAGAGGTGTCTTGGGACACCAACACCTGGAGTAGCCACAGTGGATCCACACACCTGGTGAGCCTGGCAAGCTCCTAGGGCAGCCACCTGGGCAGAAGCTGCAAGCATCATCATCATTAGAAAGACCACACCCTTCGGGGCCAGAGCCAGCTAGCTGACTAACAGGCTGGCCCACGTTGGCCACATTCTATCAGGCTGAGCTGTAGGCTCGGTGTTACTGTGCTCCAGGCAGAATCAGAGATACTGGAGGCCTCAACTTAGCTGTCCCTGCTTCTCAAGGGAAGGTTCCAGGAGGAGGGGTGGGAAGCTAGACATCCTGATACAGAATTCCACCGTCCGCCCAACCAGGGTTTGAAAAACCTTATGTTCCCCAGATCTCAGAAACAGAAGTCCTACTCACTCCCTGACTCTGGGACATCACTGAGACCAGCAGCAGGGAAACAAGACTCTTTGAGATTCTGCTCCCTTCCCTTGAGGGGCCTCAGTTTTACCAACTGTTAAACAAGAAGTTTGACATTATTGATGATTTCCTGACCAAGGAACCCATGCAGCTGTCTGCCTCCATAAACCCCAAGTTTTAGAGACACATACAAAGCTCATCAGCTGTGAAAAGGACAGGGCAGGATTAACCTGCACACAGCCATTGCACTGGGTAGTTAGCCTATGTTACCTCGCTGATCCTCCCAATCACCCTGGGAGGCAGGGACAGTATCAAGTTACAGACGGGGGAAACTGAGGCACGGCATAGCCGAGAGTCCTCTGCCAGCGTCTCAGTTAGCAGTGACCCTAGCAGCCCTTGGACTCACAGTGGAGCTGGCCTGAGCCCACACCCATGTTCAGTCTCTGACCCGATGTTTGTTTCTATTTGTAATCAGTCATAATGAAGAAACACTGTCTCTCCCTGGATGTGCCATCACAGCAGTCCCAAGCAAAGAAACATGAGGTCCCTTTTTTGGGTGGATACAGGAAAGGTTTCCTGTGAGCTTCAGTAGCTTCCTGGATCCCTGGGTCACCGGAGGCCCAGGGGAGAAGAACTCAGGGAGACCTTCCTCTCTGGGGTTCTCCAAGCCTGAGCTCCTCTCTGAGGAACCCGGTCCTTGGACAGGGTCTGGCCTCTCCAAGACCCCGACTAAGTATGTGATGGAAGTAGTGTGAGATACGTCAAGAGCATCAAACCACAAACCAGCCCCGAGCAGCAGGTGCCACACCGAGGTATCCACCCCCAGATTCGGAAGCTGGGCCACAACTCCTCTTTACCCAGACACCAGGGGAGCTTCTGACTGAGCAAGAAGTGTTTAAACACAAAGGCTACCCAGCGAGGCAGTTCAGAGCTCAGGCCCTGCAATCAGGCAAACCAAGGTTTCTATCACTTTAAATTGTTGGGTGTCTCTGGGAAAAGTATATAATCTCTGTCAGCTCAGTTTCTTTCTTTCTTTATTTTTGCAGTTTTTGGCCAGGGCTGGGTTTGAACCCACCACCTCCAGTATCTGGGCCTGGCACCCTACTCCTTTGAGCCACAGGCGTTGCCCTGAGCTCAGTTTCTTATATAAAAATGGGGATAATATTAGTACTCACTTCATAGGGCTGCTCTGAAGATTACAAGAGATAGTATTGTCCAGGACTTAGTCCCGTGTGTGTTGGGAGGAAGTGGCAGGAGGTGACATCTATGGAGGTGACATCTGCTGTTACTGTCTACATCGATATGGCTAAGCATACTTCGCTTAATCTCTTTGTGTCTCAGTTTCCTGGTACATAAAATGGGGTTGATTGTGAAGATTAAATGAGTTATGCAGGTAAAGAGCTTAGAACAAGAGCTTACATTTCTGGCACAAAGTAAGCACTCAATACAAGAGTTAATATTCTTAATTATTAATATTACTAGCATCCTCCTCCCTTTATTCTTGATAATAGATTCCATTCTATTCCCCACTCTCTAGCCAAAAGGGTGGGCATAGGACTCAAGGTAGATTCCCAAGAGGATCTTTCCCCTTGGCCACATCTGCTGGTATAAAGGGTGTACATGCGCTCCAAGCTAGGCCAAGTTCCAATCTGAAAACTCTGGAGAGGACGAGGTCCTCCCGGGTGGGCTAGAGAGCTATGTGGGGTCAACTGGGAGCACTCTGCAGCCACGACCCCCTGAATAATGACCCCCTGTCTGGGGATGATGCAGGTCACCTGTTCTCTTGGGGAGGGGGGCACTAGATTCTTCAGCACCTCCTTTAAGCCTTTAAGCCTCCCCTGAAACCTTCTGATTTTTGTTCAATCTCATTCAAATTTGGTTCCTGTGCCTTGAAACCAAAGGAGTCCCACCCACTAAACAAATGGCTGCTTTATCACTGCCAAATCCCTCCCAGGAAGAAAAGCCACCTGCACATGCTGGGTGAGACCGAGGGAGCCAGGGAAACACAAACGGGTAGGTAGGTAGCAACAGATCACTCCAAACTGAAGTGATGGGAGGCCACTGCAAGCCCTGGAACCAGTGCCCCTTCTGGGAAGGAAGATCCTGAAACTAAAGAGTGGGCACTCCTGTCCTGCAGTCCCCCGCTGAGAAGCCAGCCTCAGACGGGGGCCCCTTTGCTGTGTGCATTAAGAAAGGGGAAGAAGGGAAAGAAGGAAATTGGAGCTGATTTTTATTGACTTCAAAGTGGTGCTGAAAAAAATCCAGATAGCTATTTAAAACAACACTTTTTAAAGGAGGAAGTAAGAGAGAAAAGGGGGAGGGAGGGTAAGGAAAGAGAAATTGCCTTATTTGAGCACTCAAATGCACCATGCACTGTGGGCCACACTCTTTTCATTTGTTTGATCTTGTCTAACCTCCAGCACAGCCCTGGGAGCTGGATGATCACCCAGCCCATTTTCTGGGTGAAGAAACCGAGGCTCACAGGGGGATCTACAACTAACTCACGAAGGTCACACCACTTGTGCCTCACGCCTGATGTGCTACTCCCATCAGTATCCATGTACACTCTGATTCTGGAGCCTGGGGTCCCTTCCTCACGCGGACCATGTCTGCTGCTATTCACACCTCTGCTCAGACCCTCTGAAAGTGATGGAGTGTCCTGCTGCTTCCTCACCCAGAACCACTGAGAGAAGGGAGCAGCTGCCAGAGACAGACAGGAGAGGAGGCTCTTGATCCCACAAGAGCATCCTCGGACAAGACTCCTTCCCTGGACCTTGGTTTTCTTAAATCTCAAAGAGCCGGCGTGATTCTAATGAGACAGCATTTACCAGTGGGTTTTTTTTTTTTTTTTTTTTTTTGAGACAGAGCCTCAAGCTGTCCCCCTGGGTAGAGTGCTATGGCTTCACTGCTCACAGCAACCTCCAACTCCTGGGCTCAAGCGAGTCTCTTGCCTCCACCTCCCAAGTAGCTGGGACCACAGGCGCCCGCCACAACGCCCGGCTATTTTTTGGTTGCAGCCGTCATTGTTGTTTTGGCGGGTCCGGGCTGGGGATTCGAACCCGCCACCTTAGGTGTACGTGGCTGGCGCCTTAGCCAGTTGAGCTATAGGCGCCGAGCCACCAGTGGGTTTTAACCAGGATGCGCCATCACAATCCCAGGGAGAGTTCTTTGCGGTTTTAGTTTGCTTTGCTTTTTTGTCTCAAGCACTTGTCGCAGGAGATTCTGACTTAACAGGTACACTAGTGCCTGACCCATAGCACCGCGCTCAACAGTATTTGATTTTCTCATTTTCTTACTCTTTCCTGGGTCAGTACCCTAAAATGATCTATTCCTATCCCCCCCCATTTTTCCTAATATGCACCTTTTTAATTCCCTCCAGGAAAAGAAGCTCTATCTTCAGAAGTGCTTTTAAAGGGTTTTAGAGAAACAGAAAAAAAAAAAAATCTGTGGCCTGGTAAGAAAAAATAAAAGGTAAGGTCCACCTGCTACCTCTCTGGCAGCCTGGCCATAGATGGACACACCGGGAGCACACACAGGCCCCCGGGAACCCAACGCGGAGCTCTGCTCAGGCATAAATGAAAATGATCAGCCAAGTCAGGAGTCCACAGATACAAGCATCAGATGGTATAAAAAGAGCCAAGCAGAGAAGGAAGTGGTAGCTTCCAACATTTGCTAGAGAATTACACTGGAAACCATGGTCTGGAATGATATGAAAATCCGGCTGACCACAATAATATCAAGAAAAGCAGCCTTCAGCAGGGCCTGAGCTGTACCTGCAGATGTGGGAAAGGTCCCAAGCATTCCCGGGGGGGCCTCGCCCGCTGACCCTCGCAGGATACATGCTTCACGAGGCCACATGCTGCCCTGCACCCACTCGGCAGCTCATGCCCCTTCCTTTTCTAGCGGCAGGCTCCAGGCAGCCGCTGCCCTCATCATAAGGGAGTATCCAGGCAGGTAGTTCCCTTCCTGTCCTTTTTCTGCTATTTAAAACGTAAAAAAAGGAACAAGGTTGATTTTCCCTCAGGGTCTGATTTGGTTTCACTCCGGGTACAACACAGTGCCACAGGGCATATCGCCACCTGGGGCTGGGTGGCATGCGGCACACTGTCAGGGATCTGTGAGCCACTGGACAGCTAGACATCTGAAAGGGGATTGAATGTCCAAGGGGTCCCGTTTCCTGCACCCCTTCCGCAATCTAATTTCCCTTCAATCAAACCAGAAAATATTGCTCAGTAGGTATTTGCTGAGCGCCATGGCTACAACTGTGAAGAACACTAAAAAAGCATGGAAAACAGGGCCAGGACGGGGAAGCAGAGGCACTAGGAGGAAGGTGCCCCTTCTGGGCCAGCCGGCACCTGAGTTTGAAGCCCAGCCTTGCTGCTTTCCCTGTCAAGAGACCTGGGACAAGTCCCTTCTGCTCTGAGGGCCACCGTTCTCCTTTGTGAGATCATGGCTGCCTTATAAAGTTGGGGTGAGGATTATATAACATATTAACAAATCAAAGGATAACAAAGTCTGTCATGTGGTAGCCACATGGCTGGGTCTGGACCTGTATGCAAGTGCTTTTGCCTGGGTGCTTCCATCCAAGTCTTACAACTGCCCTGTGAGGCAGGCACCACACCCCCAACCTCAGATGAGAAAACCGGGACTCAGAGAAACGAAAGGCCCCCAGCTCATAGGAAACAGAGCTAGAACATGCACCCAGCCTCTGCGCTCCTGCCTGGCAGGTGCTCCAAACACATACCATGTCTTCCCTTCTGGAAGCAGAGAGGCTGAGGAAAACCTCTCAGAAACAGGTAAATGCTGAACTGAGGTTGTTGGCTGCTCCTCTACCCAGGAGGCCGATGGAAAAAGGAGGGGGAGTGTTGGCTGAGAGAGTTAGGAAACCTTTCTGAAGCAGGTAGGGCCAGATCTGGGCCTTGGAGGATGCAGATGGAGAAAAGGAAAGGAGGAGGAGAAACAGGTGCACAGTCAAAGCAGAGTGGGCAGGGAAGAGCCAGGTGGCAGGGCAGTGCAGAGTGGCCAGCCTGGAGGGGGAGAGGAAGGGGACTGGCCCCAGGGAGGGGCAGCCTGAGGCAGCTCTACCTGGGATCTTTGTCACCTGTGCCCAGAGACCCTCCTGCATCAATCCCCCAGTCACAGGGCAATCACAGAGGGCCCAGTTCCCTCTTTCTTCCCACCACAGTCCCAGAGCCCGACTCTATAGCAGGTGTATCTGCCAACTCCCTGTCCTCCCTGCTCTGCTGACATGCCAGGCCCAAACTTTAGCCCAAGCTGTAGGGTGCCAGGAACCAAAATGCTGCCATGTGCACATAAGGAGCTCCGCCTCCACCCTAGCATGCAAGGTGTCCAGGAGGGAGGGGCCAGCACAGGTGAAAGAGGCTCACGGCATGAGGTCCCCCTGGCAGGGTCTCCATCTGGCTGGACTCTGTATTCCTCACACCTGCTGGAACTTTGTAGGCACTTCCTCTATAACCTTTGTTGAGCTGAACTAAACAGAAGATTCTTTTGCCTTAAGAACAACTCTACGGAGTTTGATAGTCTGAGTTAAAGGCTGTCCTTGAGCCTTTAGTCCCACCTTAGTTGGAGGGGTCAACTTGCCAATCCACTTCCCAGAGAGGAAGTGTTCCTTGCCCACCTAGCAGTCTCTGCTTTGCCCGCCACAGCCCCTCCGCCTTGTGCACATGGTCCGTGCCCTGCAGTCAGCACCTGTTCCTCCTCCTGGGTGCAGCTGCCTCCTTCACCTCCAACTGCAAGGCTGCAAATGCTAAAAGCTCCAACACCAGCCCCAGTGTCCCTGCTCCTGATCACTTCCTGAATGCTGAGTCCCAGCCCAGACCTTGGACACACAGAGAATGAATGGAAAATGGTGATCAATTCTGATCATCAGCTCAGCTCAAACCCATGCCCCCGTGCTCTGGAAGCAGCAGGACCCAGGGAACAGAGGACGAAAGCAGAACTGAACAGAGGTCTGTCAGTCACAGGGCCTCCTCCCTACCCTCTTAAGGAAAAGGGCTAAAAGGGAAATGATGAGATGGTTTGGGGCACAACCGTCAATCTGAACCTCCAGAACCTGGGTAGGCAGTGGGGTGCCTGTTTTGTTGCCTTTGAATTTTGCAAAGTCTTTTAGCAGATTACTCAACTCTGCCGAGCCTCAGTCTCCTTGCCTGTTCAGTGAGCACAGTTACCAGTAATCACACTGGCTGATTGTGAAGCCCAAATGAAATACCAATGTGAATGTGCTTAGCAAACTGTGAAGTCCCCTCAGAAAAACCAGACCTTTTCCATAACCCTGGGAGGTGGGGCTGTCATCAGTTCCGAGTAAG